GGTGGATGAGATCACCTAGAATTAGAGTGTTGAATAAGAAGAGAAAGGCATCAAGATAAATAACCAGGAGATAATTGATATTTGGGGAGGGAGAGAGTGAAAGAAGCCAGCAAAGAATGGAGAAGGGCCTATCTGAGAGGGAGAAGAAAGAGGGAACTATGATGGGGCCAAAGGAGGAGACAGTTTCAGGAAGAGGAATGGGCAACAATACAAAATACCAGACATGTCAAATGAGATGTGAACTACAGAGTCACTGGATATGGTGTCTTTTTCAGAATATGTTTCAACGGAATTATGGGAACAGAAGCCTTATTAAAGTAAGTGGTATAGTGAATGGGGAGTGATGAAGAGGAGGAATCAACGACGAGCAGAAGGAACTACTCTCTAACAGGAAAAGGAAGCATAGTAGGCACTTGACAATCCCGAAGGACTGGCAGTTTCTAAGCCAAGACTCATGTTGCAAACCTCAGAGAGAAAATTTTCTTACATTTGTATTGACCTTTGTTTTCACATCAATTTTGTTTGGTCCCTACAAAAACCTTTAAGGTAAGCATGGTAGGCTTTTTGTTTGTTCGTTTTCTTTTTTTTTTTTTAAGTCTCCATACTATAGGGAAATTGAAGCCCTAGATTATATGATTCAGTCAAGGATCACAGAATCAGTAAGTGGTATAAACTAAGGACTCTCAGCACAGTGCTCTTCCCAGTACCACAGAGAATGTTCTGAAGATTAACACAATGGTGCAGGGGCAACCAGACCACACTTCAGAAATTCAGAAGGGAGAATTCCTGCCCACAATCACTTCTTTGATTGACAACAGACATGATTGGTTGCCTAAATGCCTCTATGACAGCTAATAGGAAAGTGATTAGGTAAATAATGTATCTTCTCTTTTGATGACCTGAGTATGTGCATCCTTTGAAATGCCCCTTTAATATTAGAGGAAGATTTCAGACTTGTCTTACTTTAACAGTATGAGCAAGGGAAACATTTGGTTAATATATACACCTACCATTGCCTCAAAGACCCCCCCCCTTTTCCTTATGGAACCAGGTAAAACTAAAGCATGTAGATTCATCAGCCCCAGTTTCACTATGATGGAGGCGAAGGAGACCCTAAGCTACTCTTCCTCTCAGTGAACAGGAGTGCTGCCCTTTAGCATAAAGCATGAATGGTTTTCTGTAGTTTTGCCAGTTCAGCAAGAGAGAAAGTTAACCCTATATTTTCTTATCCCAATTGCCTCAGCATGGGTGGGAAAGGAAGGGAGCAGAGTTACAGACTGTCAGCATGAGAGAGCAGGGATCATTGTGTATGCACCTTGGCATGGGTTAGGAGGCATTATAGAGTCACCAGATATTAATGCATTTCTAGATTCACCATTAATTCTCTAAGATTCTCTGCGAGTCTAGATAATTTGGCAGAAAACAAATGCCCTTTAAATGATTTCTTCTTCTGTTTAAATTTGGAAATGTGTGGTAGAAATCACCATTTAAAAAAGAAAAAAAAAGAACAGCTTCAATTATATTAAGTACGATGCTTCCATTTAATTAATTCACTTAGTCCCTGGGTGACACTGGGTGTGGCTCGGTGAGATTTAGGAGGAATCCAATTTATCACTAGGAGGAATCTGCAGCCAGCAGCAAGGCAGCATCCTTCCACACCTTTCCAACACTGCAAGGGAAAAGTGCAGCCAGGTTGGAATTCTGAACCACAGATCCCGCTAAGATGAGAATTATTTGTTGTATGTGGAAAAATGCAGATGCTGATGGGGGTTGAAGGCGTGAGGGCTAGAAGGGCTTCTTGCTTGCGCCGGTGTTTTCTTACTTCGATTACAAATTAGTCTTTATTTTTAAACAAAAGAAACACCTCGCAGTTTTCTTGCTTTGTGGACACAGATCTTGCAAGTTTTTCATCATCTGTAAAAGGCACGGTAATTAAGCTATTTAAAGTTAGCCTCAAGACATTTGAAAAATGAGAAGCCAATAAAATGTCAGGGATTCTTTTATCTTATTCCTCCTTTGACCACTCCTTTACCATCTCCTCTCCACCCCACTCTCATTCTCTTCTTTCTGCTATAATAATCTATAGTGGTAATTAATGGCTAATAAAGATCATTTATGCTTTCTTCTCAGCCATTCGCAATGTATTACAACTTGGAAATCCAGGACGGCTTCTTTATGCAGCTCAAGTGGAAGAGGAAGGAAGTGCAATCCCTCCAGCCCCCTCCCACGTTTCTGCTGGATTTCATGGGTGTGGCAGAGTTTAGACCTTTGCAGGTTTTTGCCCTGGTTTTATTCCCTATTAAGGGCTAGGGTTATGAATAGATGGCAGAAAAAAGATAAACACAGTCGGATTCTGCCATGAATGATATAGGATCATTTCAACCACAAGCACAAAACCTGTGTGAGACCTAAGTACTCAGGCTATAGAAATGCCAGTCAGTGTAGTGTGAGCCCACGCCCTGAATACACCATTTCCTTTAGTCTGACTTAATGGCATCCTAAATACTGACTTATGTGAATGATACACAGCAGTGGTCAGTAGGGGACATGACCATTTCACACAGAAGTACACATGTATAAAATTTATGGCAAAATAGGATTATTTCTATACCTTTCAGTTTTCTGTCTTGAATATGAATTATGCAAAAACACACGCCGGCATATGGAAACCACACAGAGTACACACATGACTGCTGTACGTAGAGTATGTGGATACTGTACACATTTACATGTGAATTTCTACAACTCCCTAACCACACAATTTCGGCTTCATCACTTTGCACATATCCTAGTGGATACTTGGGGCTGTCAGTAAGAGGACCCAAGTGAAGGCAGCTGTCCCCTTTTGGGGAAGGGAACTTCTTTAGCCTCAATTCCCTTTCGAAAAATCATGCTTGGTTTCCTTTGTCAGAGGGGGCATGTGTATACATGTATATGTATACATAGGGTGGCAAAAAGTTGTAAACCAGCATATTTTTTTCTTCCCCCAAATTAAAGCTTTTTTAACAAATAGCACTGTCTTCCTTAGGGCTCCACCTTCCTAAATTTTATTTCCGCAGCTCACCAGGTGGGCAACCTCAGAACATTTCCTTGACAGTGTGCTTAACCCAGCCACCTGTATCTACTGCATTCATGCATTAGAATGAAGGAAGGCAAGGAGAGGAAATGTCCTGGCTTGAAAAATGAGCCAGCGGAAGCATCAATCTCCGGAATCATATAGCAGTTTAGGGAAGTGCCACATGTAAGACTCTCACGCTCTT